AAAATCTGTCTTTTTTAGAATCTGGGAAAAGGGAAAAGTCTGACATTTTTACTTTTTTTTTGTAATGTAATAAAATTGCTGATAATAAATACAATACACAATCTTTTTTGTTATTTTGAGGTCGGGTACAACTCCTAAATGTGTAGTTTAATAAACACTCTGATGTATGAACATGAACAAGTATTTGTCATCCATAAATAGCCCAGTGGAGCAGCAAGGCAAGTTTACTTTAGCACAATTCATACACAAGGCAACTCAAAGTGCTTAACACAACAAGAATCTATACTCAAGCCAAATCTGAATCTAGATAGATAGATAGATAAATACTTTATTGTTTCCGAAGGAAATTGTGAATGTGTGCCTCGCTCCTATTCATAGTAAATATAGCAGGAAAATTAAGAAGTAAAAATAACAACACACAAATGCATACATGTCCATGAAACGTTAAGGCACTGCAAGATCTGAAAAAGGGCTGGGCAAAAAAACGATAACAATATGTGTCTCAATAGACATGGGTCTATTGAGACACATGGCGGCACGGTGGCTGAGTGGATAGCACTCTCGCCTCTCAGCAAGAAGGTCCTGGGTTCGAATCCCGGTCGGACCAGGGCCTTTCTGAGTGGAGTTTGCATGTTCTCCCCGTGTCTGCGTAGGTTTCCTCCGGGTACTCCGGTTTCCCCTACCACTAAAAATATGTCCAATAGTTCAGGCATGTGCCTCCTGTACTGGCCCCGCTCCCATCTCTGTGTGGAGTGAGAGACAAATGCCCATAATTAACAATTGTAAACCGCTTTGAGACTCAGATCTGCAGTGAAAAGGCGGTATATAAATAAAAACTTACTTACTTACTTACTTACATGTCCTTGAATTCAGCAGAAAATGGGGTCGATAGAAAGTTCGATAATTTCACTTAACTTCGTAAGAAAAAACAGGAAGGAAAGCCAAGCCAGAAGCACAGCATTCTGGGGGATGTAGGTACAGGATTCCCGACCAATCACGGCTGAGCATAAACCGCAAGGCATTTTGGGTAATGCAAAAACAAAAGCACAGCAAAAACAACCGAGCCATGCGTTTACTTAGTTTGCTATAGATCTATTGGTTGCGTCGTGTTTCAATACTGTGTCAATGGTGATGCACGGCCGTGCGAGGAATTGCATGTGCGGCGCAGCAGAGGTGGTTTGTAGAGATAAACATTTTCCTCTGGAAGCACGTGCGCCGATCAATCAGAGCGCCACAAGGTGGTTATGGGGACACTCTGCGTGGCCAGAGCAAGAAGACTGAAGACACTCAAACAGTCAAAACAGGACTAAACCAGGACTGACAATGGGGAACACAGTGCTGGTGAACATATGCCTCCAGTCTGGAGTAGGCCAGCCTGGTGACGTAGGTAGTCTACCATTTCAAACTTCCACTCATTTCTTTGTGTCCCTAGTCTTTTTGGAAGCTTTAAAGATCAAAACAGAGCTTAGACTCTCATCTGTTGCGTAAACTGCATGTCATTGCTCATAAACTGCAGAGCGAAGGGGCAGACACAGAAGACTCTCAGTGAACGATAAAGAAACGAGATAAAACATGTTGCTACAACAAACGGACACTGGGCTGAGCAGGTGCATCAGCGATCTAATATCGATCCAACGCAGTTCCCCTTTTGTGTATCGATGTATACTGTAATGTGCCGATGAACTCGACGGTTTGCTTGTCTCAAACCGTCGGTGCAAATCCGTGAAACTCTCCATTTCTAGAGTGAATCGGAAATTACTGGTAGACCAAAAGGGCTTTGTGTGACCTTAGTCTGTTCAATCTGAAAATCGATACATTTAATCACTATTTTGAACTCCTAGTATAGTTGAGTGCTTGGGCCAGTTGTGCAAAAATGTGTAAGACAATTCAAATTCAGATAGGACACTTTCAAAATGGCTTACATAACTTATTTTTCACATACAACCACCAATCTACATTTCTTTCAGTCAATCAGGAGATGTGGAATTCCTTAATTGACCTGCCTGCTCCTTCCATAAAAAGTGTAAATAGATAATGTTTTCAACAGCCAAAGTATGCTTAGAAAACTAAAATAAAAAAAACAAAATAGCAAAATAAAAATAAAAACCATCCTTTATTTAAATGTTTCAGGCTTGGAGACAACTGCTAACATTGATTTGATTTGTTGCCGGAGGTGACCTTAGTGGGAAACCTCATGGGAGCCATTTTGGATCCAAGGCCACGGTTGCAAATAACTCCCGGGTCTGTACATGTGTTTGATGCACAGAGGAAAAGTGTAAGAATGATAAGCTTATATTTGAAAACTGAAACTATAGCCTTCATATATTTGGCTAATAATTACTTTGCCAGAAGCTAAGATGGATTGGCTAATGATCCATTGACAAGATAGCTAATGGCACAAATAATGCTTGTAGTCAATTTGTATTAACCACACATTTATCAGCTTTTGACGCAGTTCAAAAGTGCACTAAAACTTTACTGGCAGCAAAAACATTGTGGCCCTGGATTGCTATTGCAGTCATAAAAGAAGGGTTAAACATAAGAATGTCTACCTTTTTATTGTCAATTTTTTATTTCCTGTTTTTTAGCCTTGCGCTGCGGGGATGTTGGCAGCTATCTCTAGTCCGAGTGCCCGGCATTTTATATTCTAACTGATCTATTGTGGCTATTACACCATATTACATTGTGAAAGCGCCAAAGGACATGACGTTTCATCTTTCAAATATGGTTTATCCACTTTAAACGGCTTGTTATTGCAGCTTCTATACCTTTACTGTGGGAGACTTGTCTCACCAATGTAGTTGCATTATTTACTACTGATTGACAAGGCCCAGAGGGGAGTGCAACGATGCGTTTTGCTGAGAACAGCTAACGAGAGCTTTTTTTTCATATAATTGGATGACAAGGAGCAAGGTAGTCCAGGGAAGTGGGGTTTCCTAATGAAAATAAAATCTGTTACATTTGTTATGACCGCTGAGCAAAGTAAATGGGAGAGTCCAACTGTGCCCAAACCACAGGCTGTATTCCCAAAACATTGCATCAGAATCACAGTGTTATGTGCTCTATATTTATTTTTATAAATATTTCAAATTATATATGAAGAAGCCTTTTTTTACGTTCTCACATCCATTATAAGATTTCAAGACAATAAGGTCCATCCACACTAAACATATCAACAAAGCCTCTGAGTTTTCTTTTATCGTCACAAAGTATGTTTACATATATTGCAATCACCTGTTTTGATTTTTTTCTCTCTCGGTATAATGAAATTATTTAATTCAATTCATTTTAAATTTATTTTGTATATCTCTAACATTTAAACAGCATTTGTCTCAGAGGACTTAAGTCATAGGTTTAGGGAGAACAGATCAGAGAATGAAACAGTTCAAACACAGTTGTCCATAAATCTTAGTAAATGATCCTTAGACCCTCCTGCATAAGCAAGGAATGACTCAAAAAAAAACCTAATCACATTTAAAGGTGATGTCAGCGACTGAAATTGTATTTCGTATTAAAATATTGTCTATTTCTGACCATTACATGCTGTACTATTATATGCAGTATTTTTCAACATTGATATATATAATGAATCATCCCCCTTCTGTTCACCAGGTTAACTGGAGGTGAACAGTTAAACCAATGACAAACTGCCTCAAGGATTT